AATCTGGATTTCTTTAAATTGTTTTTTTTAACTGTTTTGTTCTGTTTGTGATATGTTTAATCTTACCCTCTTTGAGAAGTAAAACAAATGTGTAGGACTGATAACCATATTACTGAGTTTTTGTTCAATCATTGAGCAGAACTGTTTGTAGTGTCACTTTTTGAATGTCATTCTAAATACTTTAATTCCATAACCTGAACAGCTATTTGTAAGATGACAATATGTAACTTATCAACCAGCAATTTCTTACTGTTTGTTTTTCTGTAATTTTGTATTATTTCTACCCTTTTTTATCTCCATGTATTTTTTGTTCCCTTTTCTTTAAATAAAATTAAAAAAAAAAGAAAAACCATTTGTAAAACAATAATATGTAAACATCAACTAGTGATTTGTTACTGTTTGTTTTTTTCTCTGAACGTATGTATTATTTCTATCTATTTTCTGTTTTGTTTAGTCTTTCTTTAAATAAAATTAAATATATATATATATATATATATATAAAAATGAAGCCTCAAAAAGAAAGATTAGTTGCTATTCCTGTAGTGCTTTTAGGAGCCAGTAGAATCTTTAGGAAATGAGACCTAGTGGGAAGATGTTAGGTCACTAGGGATGTGTCCCTGTAAGGGTATTGAGAATCCAGTCTCTTTCGCTCAATTTTTTTACTTCTTGGCTACATGAAGTAAGCAGCTTCCTCTGCTGAGTGCTCCTACTGTGATGTATTACCTTGCCACAGGCCCAAAAGCATCAGGCTCATCATCCATGGATGAAACTTCCAAAATGTGAGCCAAAATAAATTTCCTCCTTTTAATTTGATTATCTCAGGTATTTTGTTACAGAAGTGAAAGTTGACCAACACATGTAAGAAACTAGTATATGTATTTTCTCATGTGTTCCCCAACCCCAAAGTCTGCATATATCTACATTTATGGAGGGGTACATTACTTTTTTTTCTTAAACAAATGGTCACTTAAGAATACCTTGCCATGTTAGGAGCTTTTCATTTTCTAAGATAACCTTTTCACGGTAGCCTATGCAAATGTATTTAATTTTTCTTACAACTTCATTGCATCCTGTAGTTAGGAGAAAGTACACATTATTTAACAACCCTCCTATTAATGGACAGATTGGGTATTTTCAATAATCCCTAGAGCTCATTTAACACCTGCACCTTAAGCATGGCAGGGTTGGTAAAGGATATAAGTGCAACAAATATCTGAGACCCACAGACAGACAGAGGCTCAGCACAGAACACATGTCTGTTTTATTTGCTCCTTGGTTAACACTTCCAATGACTCATCCTTAGCGCTCAGCTGTGAGCGCCCCTTGGATCCTCAGAACACCTGCTCCTCTCATCCTTGTTCTTAGCACACTTGCAGTTTCCAGCTGGCCAGGGTGATTTCCCAAATCATGTGAGTTTCCCTCTGCAGATCTTCTGGCACTGCTCTTGCTAGTCCCTGACACTTCACACATCATCTTAGTCTATCAGAGGAGGCTCCCAAGAAGTATTTATCCAGTGAGGGAATCTTTATAAACTGTAAACCATCAGACAATCACATAATAGATTAATGCCAAGGTAAAACAACTCCCTGGTGACAGAGGGGAAATGTCACATCAAAGCATGTGACCTTGTTTGAGGTCAAGAGACTTGCAAGACCTGCTCTTCTGAGCATCTTACCTTGCTTGACCTTTGTCCCCTGCCTTCTAAAATTTTGGACAACGCGGATTTTGCAGTCACAATCACCAGCAGCTTCCTCCAGCTGGTTCATCCTCTGTCCTGCATGGAACTGACTGAGAAGAACCACTGGAGGAAAGTTACATGTTTATTTTAGAAATAAGGCAATTGACTATAGTAGCAAGGTAGGGCTTTTTAGGTGGGCCAATGTGTTGGAGAGTAGAGTCGAGGGCCCCCATATCAAGAACATATTCTGAGAATTAGGATACCCAATTCACTCGTCATGAGATGTGGGCCAGTTATTTATTAAGAATCAGAGAACAGTATCCATAACAGCTGCTAGCATTTACTGAGCACTTACTCTGTGCCAGGCACCTCATTTGGAATGTGCTAAGCAGCTTCACTCTCAAACAACTCTGCAAGATAAATACTATCCCTGTCTCCACTTTGCACATGAAAAGAAGCCAGGCTTAACTCTAGAGGCCAAGAGACAGTTCCACAGTCATGCAGCTTGTGAGTGGCAGGAGCAGGTTTTCAATTTAGATGTGCTCTTCAGATTTCTTAACCACTGCACTATGCCTCTAGCGACCTCTGTTTCCTTTTCTGAAAAAGGAGAAAATAGCACTGATTGCTTGGATTCTCTGGGTTCCTCTGACTGCATTAGAATCTCTGTCTAAGAGGAAGACAAGGCATCTCGAGCGAGTTGGCCTGGTGCTAAGGATCATGTGTCTTCATAGTCAATTAAGTCTTCCTCTTAAACATTAAAAAACAAAACAAAACAAAATAAAAAGCCAAAAAAAAAAAAAAAAACAAAAGAAGAAAACTTGGTAAAACTTGAGAACATTACAGTAGTGATCACCTGTACAGTGATAACTGAAAAACAGTAAAAATCAAATCACTTCACACCGGTTAGTATGTCTACTGTCAAAACCACAGAGTTGGTGAAGAGGTGACAATTGGAACTCTGTGTGCATTGCTGGTGGGAAAGCAAGAAAGTAACATCTTGCAGTTACTGTGGTAAATAAGATGACAGTGTTTCAAGAAGTTAGAAGCAGAATCTCCTATGATCACTTATGCTTCTCATGTATCCAAAATAGTTGAAACCAGGGTCTTGAAGGGACTCGTGTGCACCTGCACTCATAGTGGTATCAGTCACCATAGCCACGTGCTGGCCACACAAGTGTCTACTGATAGATGGCTAAAAAACATGGACATACAGTAGACTATTACTCAACTTCAGAAAGAAAGGAAATTCTGGCACATGCCACCACATGGACCAAACACTGGAATATTATTGTAAGTAAAATAAGCCAGTCACACAAGGACAAATACTGAATCATTCCACTTATCTAGATATATAGAGAAGTCAAACTCATGGACTAGAAAGTCAAATGGTTGTCAGGGGCTGGAGGGGAAATTTAATAGATATGGGGTTTCAGGTTTGCAGTACAGAGGGCCTCTGGAGAAGGATGGTGGCGATGGTCACATAAAGCCTGAATGGGCTTACTGCCACTGAACTGTACCCTTCAAAATAGTTAAGATATTGAATTTTGTTCCATGTGTTTAACCAGAGTTTTAAAGAAAGGATTTAAAGAGAGTACCAGTAAAGGTTGTGATTGCACTGGGACTAGCATCGCTGGCACAGGGAGCCACAAATGCAGTGTGGGAGCATCCCGAGCTGTTCTGGGTGAAGGAGACTGAGTCCTGTGTTGGGCCTGTGGCCCAATCAGCTGTGACAGCTGAGCGGCAAAGCACTCTAGGGTCAAGGCTGCCCTCATGCCTTATGCGAGCCCTGTGACATCTGCCCTGCACATACCATTTCAGGAACATGAGGACTCTAATGGCGAGCCCTGACAGCTGGGAGTGGGGGTGGCCGGAAGAGGTGGACGTTCTTCAGATGGCCTTCACGCAGCAGTCGATGGCATGTGGCCTGGTGTGTGCATTAGTTCCATCGCTCTGGAATGCAATTGCAGGAAAAGGGCCCTCTGGGACAAGACTCTTTTTTTTTTTTTATTTTTTAAAGGAAGATGGTTAGGTTTGTTTTTAAGTCTCTAAAGTTCAGGAATACTCAACTTTATTATATCTCTGAGTCTTATGAGGTGGGGAAATGAGGTGGTGACAAGAAAAATGAAAGGTTAACCACTTGCAAAAACTATAATAAATGCATGTATAAATAAATATATGCTATGCAACATTCCTGATGAACAATAATGCACCTTGCTACTGTGAAATATTTGGAATGTTTTGTTGAAGTGACCCAATAAAAGCATAGAAGCCAGTAGCAGACTCTAAAGGAGAATCAAGGACATTCTATGCTTTTTTTCCTAACATCAAATTTAAGCAGCAAAGATGAAAGGAGAAACAGAAATAACTGCCCAGTAAAGCTATGAAGTATCTTTCAGTACAGAAGGATAAAACATTTTTTAGTTCATTTTCTCTTGCTATAACAACATACCCAAGGTTGAACAATTTATAAAGAAAAGAGGTTTATTTAGATCACAGTTCTGGAGGTGCAAGAGCACAGTACTGGCATCTGTTCAACTTATGGTGAAGACCAAGTGTTGCTTCATGCATGGTAGGTAAATGGAAGGGGACACAGGCTTGTATAGAAAAGAGCACATGGAGAGACTTGCAAGAAATCTAGCTGAAGGCACAAAACTCCTTTAGTGACAACCTATTCTTGCGGTAACTCATCCCATACCACAAGAGTGAGAATTCATTCCTGTGAGAAAGGCATCAGTTGTACTTAATGATCTAGTCACCTCCCAAAGTTCCCAACACCATTGCTACACTGGGGATTAAGACTCAGTCAAGCCCCAATGAGTTTTGGTAGTGACAAACCATACTAAAACCATTGCAAAACCCAAACTCAACTGACCAAAGAAGCCAAAAGAAATTTATTGGCTCATTGATGTGTTTAAGAGAGCACTGACTTCAAGCACAGCTGGATCTAAATACTTGCACAAAGTCTTCAGACATCTGTCTCCTTCCACATTTAGCCCTGCGCTCCTCTTTCCCAATCCAGTGTCTGGCCTGGGTTACTTGTCCCCCTCTGAACCACTTGCTGAGGCCAGGAGAAAGGAGTATGCTGAATGGCCAAGGCAGGACCATAGTTCACAGCTAGAGCCAGAGGGAAAGGAGTGCCTTCCCCCACCTTGAAGACTGACAGTGAGGCTGGGGTGGTTCCCAGAAGAGAGTCTGGGGGCTGGTACTAAAAAAGGGGGAAAGAATGCAAGACAGGCAAGCAAACAGTTGCAAACCACCTGATACATGTGAAGGAAAGTAAGACTAGGTTCCATCCAGGATTCTGAATTTTTTTTCATTTCCTAGGTCTAGCTCTACTGCAAAATGAGGCTATAGAAGGAGTGGCTACCCTTTTACATGGATTAGCATCCCAGAGTGCTGAACACTGGGAAAGGCAGCCAGACCAGAAGTCCAGCGATCCTGCCTGTGAAAGAGAAGGGTAAGAGGCTGGAACTTTCAAATGGGAAAATGGAAATGTCCTATAAGCGGACAGATGGTTGTCCTTCCAACATCGACCTTCCTTTTCTCCCATTGAGTAATAGCAACAGTATGGCAGATTGACTCTCTGCTTGGAGATGGCCTTTTTGGTCTGTAGCTGTCAATCAGGGAAGGTCCCTCCCCCTTGCCTCGATGATTGGCTTAGAGCTAGGGAGACAGTTCTGACCAACAAGTTGCAAGAAGAAGTTTGGTATGGGCTTCTGGGAAATTTAATCTGTGCTTTGATAAGCAGAGTTCAAGAAGGGATTCTGTTTTTACTCCTGCCCTAAGAGGGAACAAGAAGGCCAGTAGCCTTGTTGTTTATGGACAGTCATTCTGTGGCTACAGGACAATCAGCCTTGGGAGAGGGAAAGAATAAGTGATATTGCTGACATTATAGGAGATCTATAGAGCTCCTTATTGTTCATTCTCCTGTGAGTTGCCTTTTTTTTTCCCTTGAAGCTAAAGGTATTTGAGTTGGGATAACCTGATCTGTGGAGGGAAGATAAGCTTCATTTGTTTGAAAGCAGAATTGGAGCCATGGGACCCTGGACATTTCCCTCAATAGCAGGAGCTGCCTTGAGGTGAGTATTCTAGCATTGGAAGCATCAGGGTAAGGCTGAAAATGTCAAGGGGATTTCTAAGAAGAAAAACCTTGCTGCTGGCATCCACATACATCAAGGTGAAACTCAAGCGCCACCTAAATGTGGGAACTCACGGACCACTTAAGGGTTAGAACAGGTCCCTGAGGGAACTAATGGTTCCCTGAATGTCCTTCTGTCCCACAGTACAACTTATAAAAAGGAAAAAAAAGATAATCTTTTTAGTTTTTCTTGTACCATCTTCAAAATGCAACAAGATTATTGCAATGCTTTTTCCAAAATCTGTCACATTTTCAGAAGGCAAGTCAACCTGGTACCTATCCACACGTTAAATGTGTGTGATAGGTAAAAAGTGTCTGCTTCAGATCAAGTTGTGATGAAGTTGTGTTGTAATCTTCACTTACTTTCTGAATGCTTTGCAAGAGAATGGGACATTTCATGAAATTAATGTGGTTGGCAAGCCAGTATTCATTTTACTAGACACACACGTAAATTCTGACTCGGTAGATTATTAAAAAGGCTTATACTTGTGATATATTTGCTTTCCTGACGTATTAAAAGTCATAGTTATGATTTAACTATTGCCAAATCTAGAGTCAAGAATGCGTCTTCACTTTGTTGGGACAGTATTGTTCTTCTGGGAGACAGGGAAGCCAATCTGCCTCCATCATTCTGCTAAATTAGTACGCACGTTGCCTGTTTGAGGATCCTTTCACAAATCTCCCTAGGTCTGATGTTTATACATTCATTTAAGCACTTAAAAAAGCATTAAGGTTTCTTGCATGTACCACCTAAATCCTCTGAGAAGCTGTCCTTTATCCTAAACTTCGATTTCCTGGGGTTTCAGGAACCTTCCCTTGCACGGGTCTCCTAAGGTATTAAAGCACAGTTCTTACCTCCTGTTGTTAGCACCATTGCTTTGCTTTGTGCAAATGGCTTATTTGTTGATTTTTTGTTGGTTAACAGAGCAACTGAATAGCGCCTAGATCTAGCTAAATAAAAACAGAAGCAGATATCTTGGATTGCATTGGTGCTGATTTATTAACACAAAGGGGAAACATGGCTTAGAAGTTGATCCCTGTCCAATAAGATGAGAAGGAAGAAATATTACGGACCATGTTTTCTGGGTTGTTACTGAGTCATGAAAGACAGTAAGTAAGCTCCTTATTTGAATGAGTAGAAGCAGCTTTTTAATTCCCAAATCAAATGCTTGTTACCAAATGTTACCTTTGCTTGTTTTGCATCCTACAAGATGGGAATGAGGAGGAAGGACTAGACATGTTCTCAGATGTCTGGATAGTTGGTGTCATTCTGCTCCATGTAGAATAATAGGTCAGTGAGCCCAAAACCTCCCAGCTCTCCTGGGAGCCACCCTGAAGTAGCCCTGTTTGTTTCCTTCTTAGTCCAAAGCCACAGATGAATGTCTGAAGTTTCTTCTTGCCTAGTGCAAAGCAACCGCAAAGGTTGCTAAGGTTTGTCCAAGGGGCAGGCTCACAGTGTACCCATGTTCCCACTGAAACACCCATTCCTGTTATGTGATTTAGAAGACGACTTTTAACAACCTGAAAGTTTGTCCCTGGCCGGGAGCACTTGGTGGCGGAGAAGCAGAGGGATTAAGGGTTTCAGCCATGTGTCTCGGTTCCAGCCTTTGCCCTCCAGTCAACAGGAGTTGTACTATACGCAATTTAGTCTTTCTCTGTAACTTTAGAAAACATGCATAGCTGGTCCTTCTTGAGGGATGACTTTGGCCACATGTTCTCTTTCTAATGCTACCAGTCACCTTACAAGTATTTAACTCTTTCCTGTCATTGGAAAAAAATACTTAACATCTGGAACTTAGAGGAGAGGTTTATTTGGGTTCACGGTTTTAGTTTATAGTTGGCTGGCTGATGGTAGAAACAGGATGGCAGAGGAAAATCTGACCAACCCATGACATTCGGAGAGGAGAGGAGAGGAGAGGACAGGAGAGGAGAGGAGAGGAGAAGAGAGGAGAGGAGAGGAGAGGAGAGGAGAGGAGAGGAGAGGAGAGGAGAAGAGAGGAGAGGAGAGGAGAGGAGAGGAGAGGAGAGGAGAGGAGAGGAGAGGAGAGGAGAAGAGAGGAGAGGAGAGTGAGGTACCTGGAACAAGAATAAACCCTTCCAGCTCGTGTCCATGGTGATACATCTCCAACTAGGCCCCACCTTCTAACAGCACATTCAGCTCTGAATTCATCAATAAATGAAGCTACCATGAGTACAGTGCTCCTATGAACTAGTCACCTTACAAACACAGGAGATTTTGCGGGGAGCCGGGGTGCATTTTTGATCTAAGTCCTATCACAAAGTCTTTGTCTTCCCTCCTGTGGAATAGGTGGGGGAGCTCATGCTCCAGGAAGGGAGTCACCTACCTAGAGTTACTTTGCTTTGTGCTGGCAGGAGCGGGAATTCCCGCCCACCCTGAAATGCCACTTAGTGCATTTGTAAGCACATAATGGGAGGCACTCTTAAGAAATTCTGGGGAAGGAGAAGATGGCTTACCCAGCAGCAGCATCTGGGCTGTGCAGCAGATGAGATGCTTCAGCACATCTTCGGTCAGGCCATTTGCCAAGTTTGTGAGGCCACCTCTTCAGGTGTACTGTATTGAAGGTCGCTATGCCACAGCTCTGTATCCTACTGCATCTAAACAGAATAAACTGGATCAAGTGGAAAAGGAATTTCTGAGAGTAACACAACTCCTGAAGGACCCCAAGCTGGCCCTGTGTGCTCTGAAACTCTATGTCAAACGTTCCATTAAACTGAAAAGCTTAAGTGACCTCACTGCAAAAGAGAGGCCACTGGGGAGAAGTACTTTGCACAGTGATCACTGCGTCCCCTTTAGACCAAGCTGCTCTCTCTGAATTAACAGCAGTCCTGAAGAACTTTCTAGGTCAGGGCCAAGTACTGAAACTGGAGGTGAAGTCTGATCCCTCAATCATGGGTGCAGTGGTTGTCTGCGTTGGGGAGAAATACGTTGATATGTCTGCAAAAAGCAAGACTCAGAAGCTGAGCAAGGCAATACAGAGACTATCTGAAAGTGTTGACTTTCTGTCATCAGTGAAAATTCTTAAACTTGGGGCTACAGTAAGGTGCTTCCTGAACAACATCAGCAAAAGAAATATTGTGGAAAGTCGAGTCGTGTTTTCCATAAATTTCCTTGCCTATATCAACTGATGTGACTTCATCATCCTCCCAGGACATGTGCCCTTGTTCTCCTGTTTACTGAGGCTTCATTGGCAGAATAGGAATCGGTGGGCTCATGGGCCCAGAGAAGGAGTGCATTCCATAGGAAGCTGAGGGTCTGTTATTTTCAAATCCCATTTATTAAGGAAACTAGGGCCATGAGACCAGGGAAAATGCATTGTTTCAGGAAGTGTTGAATTTAAGTCTGTATCTCTCATTGGGTGAGAATAAATCTTTTTTTGTTTTGAAGAGAATAATAAAAACAATAAAGATGATTCAGAGTTTCAAAACAAGATGACAAGAAATTAATGATTATTATACTGCATATTGTTGTCTTCAAAATAGTTGCTCAGATTACTAGACACAGGCAGGCAAAATTGATCAAATAATATAATCAATAACTGCTCCTTTCAATGACATAATAAAATGAGTAGTACAATTATTGTATCTTTTGGATATCTATATCTATTGTACCTTTTGGATCTTAGTCTTTCAGTTTCTTACACTAGGAAGAATAATATGATGCTTACATATGGATATCTGATTTATTTCACTTTTGAGTATGGTCTCTAGTTGTATCCATTTATCTATAAAAGCCTCAAATTTACCTTTTTTTGTGGTGGAGTAGCACTCTATTGTATAAAAAAATCACATCTATCAATTCTTTTTCTATCAATTCTTCAATTTATGAGCATTTGGGGTGTTGCCAAGATTTAGCAATTACAAATTGCTGCTACAAACAGCACACATATTTCTGTGGCATGATATTTTTAGTTTTTCTAGGAAAAATACTCAGAAGAGAATAGCTGGATTTCATGGGGTCTCTAAGCCTAGTTTGTTGAGGAATCTCCACAATGATTTCCACAGTGGTTGTATCAGTCAACACTTCCACCAGCAATGGAGAAGGATTCTTTTTTCCCCACAGCCCTACCAGCATTTGTTATTGTTTGATTTCTTGATGATAGACATTCTTTCTGGGGAATCTCAGTGTTGTTTTATATTGCATTTCTCAATTGACCAATTGTGTTTAGCATTTCGTTATATATTTATTTGCCATTTCTTCATCTGAGAACTGTGTGTTCATCTCAGATGCCCATTTTTGGATTGATCTTTGAATTTGAGAGGCCTGATGCTTTTCAACTCTTAACATGTTCTAGATATAAGTCCTTTGTCTGAGGGACAGTTGGCTAAAATTTTTTCCTATTCTGTGAGTTTTCTTTTTACTCTGTTGGTGATTTCTTGTGATGTGCAAAAACTTTTTAATAAGATGAGATCCTAGTTATTGATTCCTTGTACTTTCTGTGTGGTTTGGTTTTAGCTCATAAACTCTTGCCTATATTTTCAAGATTTCTACATACCTTGTCTTCCAGTAGATTTAGCGCTTCTGTTTAATATTTAGATCTTTGATCCAGTTTGACTTTAGTTTAGTGTGTAGTGATAGTCATGGGTCTAGTTTTTAGTCTTCAGCATGTGGAAAACCAATTTTTCTAGCATCATTTATTAAAGAGACTATCTTTCTTCTAGTGAACATATTTAGCCCCTTTGTCAAATATAAGGTGGCTGAGTGTATTTGTAGTTGTGTCTGCATCTTATAGTATGTTTCACTGATCCTCAGGTCTGGTTTTTTTTGCCAGTCCCATGCTGATTTTATCACAGTAACTTTGTAGTATAATTTCAAGTTTGGGATTGTGATGCCTCCTCGTTTGCCTTTGTTGCCCCAGGATTGCCTTTTGTATTCTAGATCTCTTCCATTCCCAAATGAATTTTAGGATAGTTTTCTCTAGA